CTGTCATATAATCATGTTCTCACACCTGGCAAACATTTCAATGGCATATTTAGTCGAATTTATGTGATAATGACATCACATTCACATCACACAGGAATATCGCAAATATGAATATTTTTTTATGCCTATGACATTCCCATCAATCATTGTATTAAGCTTGTATTAAGCGCTAGCATTTCTCGTGGCTCCACCCGCGTCGTATAATTTTGTAGAATTACTCTCTTTCTCTCTCTCTCTCTCTCTCTCTACTATAACCTTCATTAATAAGTAATCTATAAAATACAAAGAGGATTTCTCAAATCGGACCAGTAGATCCAGAGACTAGCGCGTTCAAACAAACCTAGAAACAAACTCTTTAGTTTTACAGATACAATATATACATATATTATTATTAGTATAGATTAAGTAGAGAACAATACGGGGATTAACGTCACGCCCCTAAATCCTTGTTTATGAACAGAGTATAATATATGAGGTCCATTTTATATGTGCAGATTAATAATTCATTACTACGCTCCACCCAATTTCACTTACATAATATCGCAACAAAAGCAACCTCTATCACGCGATTCATGAAGTGCTCGGAGATGGATGCCGGCAGTTTATTTTGAGGCTCGCTAGGAATTATTCATATATAGTATATACTGATTCTTAATGCTATTATTTAAACCTAACACAATAACATACAAAGTATTTGATAATATATATTGTGTATAATATACATAATACATAATATGTATAAAGACGAAACGTTTAAGAGAGTATACAATATTTTTTTACGTGATTCTAATTATTTTTTTAAACTAAAAGAATAAACCAAGACAATAGTTCAAAACTAAAAGCAACCAATCAATTGCCTAGAACTAAGGAATTAAAGTGCAATCTAGAAACTGAAATGATAGTACTTACTGAATCTAGATGAAAAATATATACTAAATATGTCTCACGTATTACGTAAAAGTTTTAACTTACTACATATAACAGTCCAAATATGACCGACCCTATAGGATCACTAAGTTAAAATATCATTAATTAATCTTCTTTGATTTCAAATGAATATTTATGAAGAAATTTGAATAACAACCAAGCACCTATGATGCAAATCCGTTACCCATATTTTAACCGACTTCCAAAAACGAGGAGGTTCTCAATTCGTCGGAATCTTTTTTTTATGTATGTTCACCGATTACTTAAAGACGCCTGAACCTATTTGGAATTTTTTTGTTTTGTTTGAAAGGGCATACTTCCCAGGTGGTTCCATATAAATTTAATCGAAGAAGGTGGAGCGGTTTTTAAAAAAATATTTTTCATTACAAAAAATACATATTTGTTTATAATTAAAAAATTATAAACAAATATGTATTTATACACTTATTGATTACTTTAAGTAATATCGTTATTAAAAAGCTTTTACTTCATATTAAAACTGAACAAGTTAAACAGAAGCAAAATTAGTTGCGAATTTTTGATGCTAAATATTTTACATTAACAAAGTAAAATATTGAAGGAGCATTGTACCGAACTTGATGAATGGTCGCGTCATTTCTATATAAAAATATGAGTCTTTAGACTTTAATGTCTAAAAATATAATAGACGATATTATGGTTAGAATTTATGAATTTTTTTTAGCTTTATTACTAGATTACTGAAATTTAAATTGATTTATTATTTGAAAATTTATAATTTTTAGAGAAAAAAAATATAGTACTTTATATTAGATTGTTGGTTATTCAAGGAATATGAAGAGATAAGATATTAGTAATATCTTATAAGTAAACTAGCATTGTCCGCGGCTCCGCCCGCGTTCAGATGACCAAAAACCAAATTCTTAGGTTTTACATATTAGTATACTCTTGCATTGCAGTTTTTGTATTTTTTCTCAAAAATGAGACATTTTCCCGCGGTAAAAAGTATCCTATATGTTGACCCGGATAACCAGCTATCACCATACCAAATTTAATCAAAATCTGTCCAGTGGTTTTTCTGTGATGCGGTAACAGACAGACAAAAATTCTAAAAACTATAGATTCCGCCTCTGTATCGATAATAATGTCTATTTCAATAAGATTTTCCAAAAAATATGTAATGTACAGATTCAGCTTAGTTACAATTTTATTATATTTACAATGAGAGTTATATTAAGCTTCAACCGATCGACCAACGATTGGTATGTAAATTATCATTTTTTTTACCAAAATAGTAGTCTTTCACGCGGCTTTGCTCGCGTAGTGTGTCGGTGAAAGATAGCCACAATGTAAATGAAAACAAATATTTACGTACACTCACAATTTTCTCATTTTTTTCATTTATTTATTATTATTATTTTATTTTAAATTTGAATACACATAACATTTCTTAATGCAAACAGCGCAACAATAACCATGTATGATAATCCTGTGCACTTATAATATTAATGTGATAAATTAAAATATTAAATCACTTATTTAATTAAGTATTACTATAGTTATAGCTATAATATCTATATATTATCAAAACATCATCAAAATCTGAATAATAGTATGTGCGAGAATACTTATATATTTTTTACCAAATGTTTTATGTTGTGTAGATATGTTAAATAAATAATATATTGTTTGAACGTGAGGGCTTTACATACTGTGATGTGTTCCCAAAATTCCAATAACAATACTGATAAAATGAAATTCTCTTTGCGGTGAAACTTATTTCAATAAATTCAAAGAAAACGTTTGGTTTAAAGGGGGAACTAAAGCGAAAGCTAAGTTAGAAAATCTGACTTAATCTCTTATTTAATTCAAGTATTTCATTGAACTGTTATAATTCAATAGAACTTATTTTGTGTACAGACGTTGTGAAATGCTTCATATCATTAAGAACTAACTCAATTTGTTTTGTAAGGAGCAAAAAATATTCTTCTTATTACATAGAAAAATTGTAAATGCTAATGAACGTTTGGCTCAGTTTGTAGGGTCACTACTGTAGTTGCTGTGCCAGTGGTCGCGGGTTCGAGTCCCGCGGGGGGCATTCATTTGTGTGATAAGCACGAATGTATGTACTCTAGTCATGGGTGGTGATATTTATTATATGTATATATTTAAAGGTATATATGTGTAGTGTATTAACTATCTGGTATCCATAACACAAGTTACCAGCTTACCATGGAACTAGATGGTGTTGTGTGTTAATATCCCAATATATTTAAAAAAAATATGAAAAAAATAAATAAATAGTAAATCTAATGTTACTAAAATGTGTGAGAGGTTAATTATTACGATGTAAATAAATCCTGATACTACCTACCATTGTTTAATGGCAGGCCATATAAAGATATTACCATATCATTTTTTACTTTCATAGCATCATATATTTCTCGTGGTACTGTAACAGAAATTGTAAAAAATGTTTTAATGTCTCCCAGAGATATACTCTTATGTTATAAAAGTAAAATATTGGCTACATTATCTTTATATGACCAAATAATATGAGTATTAAGATTGTAGACACTCGGCGTTAAGTGACTACTGCTTGGAGTATATATATATATATATATATATATATATATATATATATATATAATTTAATTTTATTTATATACTCGAAAACATTATGATACGTGAAAGTGTTTTAAGACTATACCCTTATGTATCGATTATCTAATGAATTTTAGATAAATTGACAGATAAATTACCGACGTGCGCACCTTATTTCAAGTACCCTACGCTTGTATTTAGATTCATCATGTATGAAAAGAAGTCGCTGCAATGATAAATATTCGAATATCGAACTACTGTTTAAATGCGAAAGTTTGTACGTGAGAGTGGGTATATTTGTTACTTCTTCACTCTGAACGCCTGGACTGATTTAAGTGAAACTTATTACACAGATAGTCTATGACCTGGAACACAAAGGCCTACCTGTTAGGCCTTTCTGTACTTACCAAGTCACGCATTGACGCTATCACGTAGTCTATACATATGTATAATAAAATTCTAACTAAGCTGAATCTGTACATTAAATATTTTTTAGAAAATCTTATTGAAATAGACATTACTATCGATACACAGGCAGAATCTATAGTTTTTAGAATTTTGGTCTGTCAGTCTGTCTGTTATCGCATCACGGAAAAAACACTGGAGGGATTTTGATAAAATTTGGTATGATGATAGCTGGTTATCCGGGTCAACATGTAGGACACTTTTTACCGCGAAAAAATATCTCATTTCTGAGAAAAAATACAAAAACTGCAATGTAATAGTATACTAATATGTAAAACCTAAGAATTTGCTTTTTGGTCATCTGAACGCGGGCGGAACCGCGGGCAATGTTAGTATTATATAAAATCTAAAATATTTCTTACTATGAATGATTTTATATCCATTTAGACTATAGATTAAAAAATAATAAACTCTCCGTCCGATATCACAGTTTGAATAAGAATGTCGATCATTTTCACTTTAGTGAATGCCTTTAGAAATGTGAAAGACAATTTCTCCGCTGGGCTAAAGCCGACCATTAAATTTAGCACTCAAACCATTCATCTTGCCTGACTTACGACTAACTTAGAATTTATTATCGCATTTGTTCTAAATTACAATGTTGCTGTATATCCATAATTAATCTTTTTTCCCAAGATGGTTAACGAGTGTTTCAAAATATATTTTTTTAGATCTCAACTGAATACAATATGAGCTCGTAAAAATAAAACCAATACTGTTCTTATAAACCAATATCAATATTATAAAACGAAGTCTAACAAAGTAGGATTACATCTTTAAAATACTAATTAAAATTATACTAAGTAAATGACAAACTAATGGAGATTACTTACTAAATATGTAAGTGAATTATATATGAACCAAAATTCTCCAAGCAAAATGGCTGTAATATAAGGACAGACAAACATACAGACGTCGCAAAATAATAAGGGTTTTCTTTTTGCCTTTTCGCTATGGAACTCTAAAACCAATTTTATCAGCTTTTTATATCAGTATTTAGGTAGGATTAAAAGGATATCACGAACCTTGTATGCGTCAGGTATATTAACAGGTTCGCCGCTCTCTGCGACGTAGCCTACGATGCCGCTACCCCACGGTATTCTGATCTCCTCGAGTTGCTCCATTTGTTCTGGCGTTGACTTTGAACATACATCGAACAGCTTCGATACAAGACATCTGTAGACAATTGATAATAATAAATAATAATTACATAATACTTTCTTAGATTTACGCGAATATTTGTCATTTTAAATAAAACAATATTTTCAGATTATTTCGCGGATTTATTTTGATTTTTGGTTCCTGACATTTCGAATGCTTTACAACAATCATGGTCACGGGAGAGACTAAGGTTTTAGACATCTCAAAGGCGTTAATACTTGTTACAGACAGTGCCTACCCACAATTTTACAAAAATTATTTCAAAAATTCAAAAATGGCTGGTGCCATTTTACTCTGGGAGTACCTTACATATTTGTTGATTTTAATTCTAAACAGTAATATATAAATATTAAAAATATTTTCCAAAAAACTTTATTATATATTATAATTAATAATTATATTTAAGATTAGAATTAACCATTATATGCTCTATTAGCTCAATTATGGACTAACAGTACAATGGTGTTGCTAATTAAAGACTCGGTTCTATTGGCAATGCCAGTTCCACTACATTCATATTCAATTTATCTTCATTCGCTTGCTCTTGTTGAGGTGACAGGAAGAATATAAGCAGACCCAAACTAATTTCAAATCCAATAAGTGTTAGATACTAATCGCACATAAAAGTTCTTTTATAACCCCTTAGTTAATTATTTTTATTATATAGCTTATACCCGCGGCTCCGATCACAAAATTTTCAGCTACTAAGGCTCTTAACATCATATAAGATAGCCCTTAACCGTCCTCAATAAATCGGACTAGGACTACTGTTATAAATGGTATGTACATAGTGTGTGTGTGTGTATGTATGTATGTATGTTTATTTGTTACTCCTTCAAACTAAAACGGCTGAGGCTTGGTTGGCTGAGGCTGGATTAGGATGAGATTTAATCCCCCCCCCCCCAACGTGCGTTCACCTTGTCGTGGTGGGGGGGCTCAGTAGTGCCCGGCAATACACCGGGCGCGAAGCCAAGAAACGCACAGGGAGGTGGCCCGCTTCGGTGGGCAGTGGGAGGTGGCCCTCTTTGGAGGGCGGTGTGCCATGCGGGTTGCTCCTGGTACTTCTCTGATAGCAGAGTGGACCTTTGAGCAACCCCATGGTTGTGGTGGTCTGCTTCGCCAGACCTGCCGTCGGGGCGTCGTAGTTGAATGCGTTTTGAAAATGCCCATTAAGACGGGGGAAGGTTTTGTTGGGTTTTAGTGGGTAGTACTGGTTTTGCCGGTGAGTCCCACACCTCGTGCGTAAATGCATTTCCCAACGTTAAAAAAAAGATGAGATTTAATACACAGATAGACAACGGCTTGGAATAACACCAAGGATATAAAATGAAAAAAGCCAAATATGCCGTATAGTTCCATAAATTGGAGCGAAAAACCATGTATGGTAGTAATGATGGCACCTATAGTAAAACCATGAATATATAGCATGGTGTATCAATGGAACATATTATATTTTTAAACTTAGCGACATATAAAAATAAATAAATCATTGATATCTTAATGGGACCCTTTTAGTGACAAGCTGTGTTTGTAAGCAAAGAAAACAGTTTGCGCACTACGGCAGCAGGACCTAAATAAACACAAGAGAAGAGCAATTTTATCGGATTATATTTGAGTAAAATTTGCATTATTATAGATTGGTAAGCTGTATTAGAAATATGTAATTATATTATTTATTATGGATGGAGAACCGAATTAAAGGAAAATGTTACATATAAAACTGGTAAATTTTAACATATCCTAACATGCACTCAAAGACTATCATTGCACAAGCTTTTGTCGCTACTTACGTTTTAACGTTTAGTATAGATTTCTCAGATATGAGATATTTTCCCGTAAAGTAGTAAAAAGTATCCTATATGTTGACCGGGATAACCAGCTATCATCATACCAAATTTCGGCAAAATCCCTTCAGTGGTTTTTCCGTGATGCGGTCACAGACAGACAAAAATTCTAAAAATTATAGATTCGGCCTCAGCGTGGATTATAATGACTCTTCAATAGGATTTAAAAAATATATTAATGTACAGATTCGACTCAGTTAGAATTTTATTATGTGTATAGATTACAATGGTAATAATCATAAATAAATACAAAATAACATGTATTACGTACATGTGACACATTGCAAATAAATTGTTCGTTAAGTCACAAGAGATCAAAGCATTTCGTAACAATCGATATGTGATCTTGACAAGATTTACAAGCTTAATTGCGTGTTACGTAACTACCACTCGGGATACGTAAATTCCAATGAGTTCTGTTAGGATAAGCTCATTTCTGATGTTTTATATGTTAAATAAAAAGTCAGTAGTAGCCTAGTGGTAACGCATTCAATTGGAAAACCAAGTGAAGCGGGTTCAAATCTGTGAAGAAGAAAGTGAAGCATCTCAGAACCTAGCCAGCGTGGTAGATTGTGACCTTCGCATTCTTCAATAAAAGACGGCAAGACCCAGCAGTACGATGTTAAAAATGGCCAAATGACATTTTTAAATGGATTTAATCAATTCATAACTACCCTCAGGAAACTTTCAACACAGCACGTGATATTTTCATATTGGAAACTTACACGAACTCATGAACTTACTATTTTCGCATTGTCTACCTAATAAGGAAGAGCATATACAATGTAGATGAAGAAAAAACATAACTGTAAAGTTTCGCTCTAATATATCGATTTTGAAGCAACGTCCATTTTGAAATTAGTTTTCGAACATAAAAACTTTCCCGTATTGTTCATATTCATTTTACAGACCAAAATTTCCCAGTTTATTTAATTAGTAATTAAGAACCATATACAAAAAGAATTTATTATAAAAATAATCAAAATGGCAAACTAAACAAAAAACATAATATAAAAAGAGAAGAATCCCTTTTGTTCACAATATATATTCAATCTAATCTCATCGGTCACAGAAAATCTATTGTACAGAGCTTATTGCATCGCGGACTAGACCGCACGCGCCTGACTCGACGGGTTTTTCAAATTAAACGTCCCGCTTGTTGTTTGTCGATTGGGAAATACCATGATTTAACTGGAATTTGATTGTAATCCACAGATTGTAAGATGAACAATTTATTTACCAGGTTCTCAGATTTATACTATGAAATTTTTTATACTATGTATTAATAAAATAATTTCATTTTAATTGAAAGACTAAAACTAACAAGTCTACCAACTTAGTAGTTCGTGATACAGACTCTTTTTTGTTCAGAAGTATAAAATACTAGCTAGTCACCCTCGCTTCGCTCTGGTTCGTCACTAGTCAAAAACAAAAACTAATCTATATCACGGGAACCGTACATTTTTCCGGGATAAAAAGTAACCTATATGCTATTGTGCTATTCCAGACTATAATTTATCTCTGTGCTAAATTTCACCTAGATCCGTTCAACCGTTCTGACGTGATTGAATAACAGACATCTATCCAAACTTTCACATATATAACATGTTTTTATTATTATGGGATTTACGGGATTTCTTATGGGATGTTAACCCATTTATCATGTCCAGCTACATAATAGTCTCTGACTGGGCATTGATTCGAATCGAAGCTAGAAAGAAACCACATTGTACACAAGAGAAAAAGAAGAGAAATGACAAATGTAATCGTTACGCCATAGAATCGTAATATGTCATTCCAATTTGTTTTACATCGCTTGGTTACTGTTGGTACTGTTTTGGTATTCCTTCAAAAAGAATCAGACCAATGAACGAAATGTAGTTTCTTTGGCTACAGATTCTATGCAGCGGAAAGAAGTATATGCTTATATGTACATATATCAGTATGCGGTTGGAAGAAGTTACTTAAATAAAGGCTTTGGCAAATCCATGGCGGATGACTAGCAATAAATACAATAAATTACATATGTATGTATGTCGAGTTGTCCTTTAACTCGTTTTTTCATCATTCATTTTATATGTAAGTGAATATGGAAGATATCATCCCACTTTCAATTTTGTTTTTAGACATAAGCTTTTTTAATATTTCTTAACCATTTCATTATTGCCATTACATATAAATTACATTCGATTTATGTAAATTTACTCCTTGCATCGTCTGATTTATTTGCAAAACTTAAAAATTTATAATAAATATTCAAATAATTAAATATACTTAGCCTGTATTTTTTAATGTTACTTTTTTTAATATTTTGACGACATGTTTGGCTCAGTTGGTAGTGACCCTACTTGCTGTGCCAGCGGTCGCGGGTTCGAGTCCCGCTGGGGGCATTCATTTGTGTGATGAGCACAAATGTTTGTACTCCAGTCATGGGTGTTAATATTTATAATATGTATGTATTTAAAGTTATATATGTGTAGTGTATCAACTATCTGGTATCCATAACACAAGCCTCGTAGCTTACCATGGTACTAGATGGTGCTGTGTGTTAATGTCTCAACATTTATTATATTGTCTCAACATTTATTAATGTCGTAGTGACCCATGTTCCATTTCCCGCACTGTGCTAAACACGAGAACCACTCAGAGCTCGAAAACTCGTAACTAAGCTTCCAGACCACATACCTAAACACAAAAAAACCATGCCGATACTGCACTGCAGCTGTACCAAACTACCTACAATCCAACATAATAGAACATTTTGACATGTTTGAAATGCATTTCTAATAATTCCCCATAAAAAAGGATCAATCCCTCCACGACTGCGGATACGCCGGCGTTACAGTTAACAATAGATTTCTTAGAAATTTAATTAATTTCTTAGAAATTTACCTGAAGATTTTAAGGTATTATATTATAAATAAAGATTTTTAATGAAGAAAATTTAAAAATAATTTTACTAAAACGACTACATGTTATAAATTTTATTTTAATTCAGCATTATCGAGATCGTTAAATCCAGCTCAGTTGTATGTCATTAGGGAAATTGAGTGGCGCAGGTAGAATTCAATTACTGTTCTGTTGTAGACTTATTTCGATTGTGAATAACTTTAGCGAGGCAGTTTTATTTTGTACTAGAATGACTGATGTGACGCTGCTGATGGCATTTTT